CCTTCCTAGCCCCAATTTGGGACCAAAGTGCAACTGGGATCATGGGTTGGGGAGCTCAGATTACCCCTCTCCATAGTATTTCCCTGGGCTAAACTCACACCAGCCCCGGGAGATGTGTGGGAGTAAAATGGGATGGGTGGTGCTTAAAGACGGAAGGGACCAGTGTAGTAACTAACTCGCCTGGGACCCCACCCCTACCAGCTTTGGGTCTGTTCAATGAGCGAGAGGATTCTCTCCCAGAGGCCAGGGGTCTGGGCTAGTTCAATATCCGCTGCTCGTTTCCTCACATCTGGCCACGTGCACGTTCCTTAGATGCAAACTGCTTTGAACTTTACAGCTGTGTAAGTTGGTTGTGTCTGTGCCCATTAAAGAAAAAAAACAAAACAAAACAAAAAAAAACCCAAAACTGCATTTTAATGAGAAAAAAAGAACCTGGGGAAAGTTCCTTTGCTTCTGTAGAGGAAATATAAGACTTCGAATTCTGGAAATGGTTTTCTGCTCCTCTTTCCTGGAAGCTACACACCTGCCTACATACCCTAAGACCTGCGCCTGGATACACACGTGAATCCATTGGAGTTTAGGCGCGCTTGCGTTTCCCCAGGTCTTGTGTGTGGAGGAGAGGAGTGCTTGGCCCGCGCCGACCCCTCTCTGTTCACCCAGCGCTACCCGCCCGCTTGTGTCAGGTCGTATATGTCAAAATAAAGCCTCTAGAAACTGAACTCTGTCCAAGTCTTCGTGAAACCTTCACAGCCTCTGGGTGGGCTGACCCAGCTAGTCGTTCACACTTCTTGGTCTCCACTTGAGGGGAGGTGCCAGGTAGGAATTGGGGGACCGAACTGAACTGGGTCGGGACGGGTACTGAAGGGCGGTGCCTGAGTTTTGGGGCAGCACAGGAGCGGTTGGAGATGGGGGTCGAAGCAGGCACTGGGGAGCAAGGCAAGTCGTGCTGGAGCTGGGGGTCTGGGCAGGCACCGAGGAGCAGGATCGTTGGGGTGGACCCGGAGCGGGTTGGGTGGGGTGGAGGAGGCCGCTCCGACTGGGCGGGGCCGAAGGAGGTTGCTTCGTAGCGGACCCGGTTCCGATAGGAAGCCAAGCTAACTCCTCCAGTTCCGCCTTTAGATCCGCCAATGGGCATCTGACCCGCGAGTTCTCCGGGTCCCCATGGCAGCCCAGCGCGTTGGGAATCTAATTGGCTACGTCTGCCGCAGCGTAGCGCTGGGCGGTCGACTGCGGACGGCCCTGCCACGTAGACGGCAGCCGATTGGCTCTTCCTGGTTACGTCACTGGCTGCGCCGCCTCCGGCCGGAACTCCGGGCCAGCCCCGTGTCTCCAACCAGTTCCTCCTTCGGTGTTCTGGCTGCCCCTAGACCCTACATCAAGGTAGATCAGGGGGACGAGGTGAGGCCAGAGTCGGTCGGTCTGGCTGGTGAAGGACGCGGGGCAGGGCACGGCGGCGGGAGTGTGCGGCAGGGTTTGATCAGGGGGCCTGTAGGTACTTTGGAGCCAGGGACCCACTCCTGTCACCCGCAGGCGCGATGAAGGCACTGATCTTGGTGGGTGGGTATGGGACACGGTTGCGGCCGCTGACGCTAAGCACCCCGAAGCCATTGGTGGACTTCTGCAATAAGCCCATCTTGCTGCATCAAGTGGAGGCGCTTGCCGCGGTAAGGCCCTGGGTCAACTGTGGCGGGAAGAGGGATGGATAGTGACTGAAAGGCCGGGGGTGGTCATACCTTGTGACCGAGCCCGTCAATTAGTGCACCTTATTGTTTCCGACAGGCAGGTGTGAACCACGTGATCCTGGCTGTGAGCTACATGTCACAGATGTTGGAAAAGGAAATGAAGGCACAGGAGCAAAGGGTGAGGCATGCATGGACTCAATTCTTTCTTTTGATCCCTGGGGCTCGAGGGAGAATATAACCAGATGGCTTCTTCCCTTTAGCTTGGAATCCGAATCTCCATGTCTCATGAAGAGGAGCCTCTGGGGACAGGTCAGTAGAGAAAGGAAGGCTTTTGGTCATGATTTAAGGTCAGTAAAGGCATTATCCAATCTGGTAGTAACATGACTTGTCCCTTTGCCTAGCTGGGCCTCTGGCACTGGCCCGAGACCTACTCTCTGAGACCGCAGACCCTTTCTTCGTTCTCAACAGCGATGTGATCTGTGATTTCCCCTTCCAAGCCATGGTGCAGTTCCATCGACACCATGGCAAAGAGGGCTCCATCTTGGTAAGAGACCAAGTCTTTCTTCTCTGATATCCCCACCCTCATACCCAGCTGGTCCGGACACTCAGTCTTAAACTCTTTTCATGTTGTGCAAAGCTGTGTATGTGTAGGATGTTTCGGGGGCAAAGCCCTTGAATGGTAGGACATGCATGCTTATCAAGGATAAAGTACACTGGACTAGGCCTAAGGTGCCCTCCGCCTCCATATTCAGGTAACCAAGGTGGAGGAGCCTTCCAAGTATGGTGTGGTAGTATGTGAGGCTGACACGGGCCGCATTCACCGTTTTGTTGAGAAGCCTCAGGTATTTGTGTCCAATAAGATCAACGCAGGCATGTACATCCTGAGCCCTGCTGTGCTGCAGCGCATCCAGGTGTGTAAGAGACTGCTCGCGGGCTAGGGTGGAGCCTGGCTGTTATGTGACCTACTCACAAGTTGCCCACTTCCACAGCTGAAGCCTACATCCATTGAGAAGGAGATCTTCCCAGTCATGGCCCAGGAGGGACAGCTATATGCCATGGAGCTCCCGGGTGAGGCGGAAAGGCCATCGGGTGAGGGCTAGTCTGTAGGTGGCAGATCCTCTGATTCACTTCTCCCTGCAGGCTTCTGGATGGACATTGGACAGCCCAAGGATTTCCTCACTGGCATGTGCCTCTTCCTGCAATCACTGAGACAGAAGCATCCAGAGAGACTCTATTCAGGCCCTGGCATTGTGGGGAATGTCCTTGTGGTGAGGCCCTTGCCCAGCCTGTCACTAATCCTTTCAGATTTGGGAGACAAATGACCTACTCTTACTTTCCTCAACACTCTCAGGACCCAAGTGCCCGTATTGGTCAGAACTGCAGCATTGGCCCCAATGTGAGCCTGGGTCCTGGTGTGGTGGTGGAGGATGGCGTGTGCATCCGGCGGTGTACAGTGCTTCGGGATGCGCACATCCGCTCCCACTCCTGGCTTGAGTCATGCATCGTGGGCTGGCGCTGCCGTGTGGGTCAATGGGTAAGTCTGTGAGCTAGGCTGGGTGGGGATAGGCACAGGGAATGTGTATGTCCCATTAACAAGGCTTATCCACCCCCACCCCTGCAGGTGCGTATGGAGAATGTAACTGTGCTGGGCGAGGATGTCATAGTTAATGATGAACTCTACCTCAATGGAGCCAGTGTGCTGCCCCACAAGTCTATTGGGGAGTCGGTGCCAGAGCCTCGTATTATCATGTGAGGGATACCTAGGGCTGGCCAAGCCCCTCTTCATCAACAGTGTAGGAATCACTCAACACTTCAGAAGACCCTGGACTTGGTGCCGTCTGTCTAGGGAGGAATGGGTGACTCTCAAACTGTTGGTGAACATCTGCCTTCTGATGGGGACCGAAACTGACAGAATCCTGCTGGGCATAACCCACAAGCCCCACTCCCTCAAGAAGAGCTGGGCCCAGGGCTGTATGGAATAATAATTTAATGCTCACTGTAGCCTGGATTGCAAGTCAAGCTCAGGCATAATTAGGGTGTGGCTTGGCTCCCACCAATGAGGTTCACACAGGCAGATGGATGGAAGTGTCTGAGAGTGAGGGTGATGGGAAACAGAGCCAAAAGAGCTCATAAATAGGGCTCGGTCTGGGTCTGAGGGTGGAGGTTCCAGGATGGTGCAAGCTGTGTGCATTAGGCTGGCCTAGGCAGCCGAGGAGGTGGCACTTGTGGTGGCTGCCTTGTCCCAGTCCTCTACAGACACGATGGTGGCTTTGCAGAAGAAGCAGTCTTTGTTGTTCATCAGGTGCTGGTTGATGCAGGCTCTGCAAGAGGGGAGGGGAATGAGCTCTGCCTCGTGTGTCCTAGTTGCCGCCCAAGTCCATGGGGCCCACTTACTTGCAGGACTTGTGGCCACAAGGCTGGAACACAGCAGAGATGGGGTGGGCATAGCAGATTGGGCAGAGGTCCTCTTCACTGGTAGGCTGTGGACGGAGAGTGAAGAGTGGCTGGGGCTGTACCTGTACCTACCCCGGTGTGCACAGATGTATTGAAGTAGCATGGGCCTGTGTGTTTTAGCCCCACTCACCAGGGAGGCAGCTGCTGCCTGGGCAGACGCAGCCGTCAGGTGTGCCAGCATCTGTTCCACCTGGGCCAGCTCCTCCGCACTGATGTAATCTGTATCTGTGTTAGTGGTAGTTGGTGTCAGGTCCCTTGTAGGACTAGAATTCAGTGCCTCTTGAATACTCCCAGGCAGGAGTATTGCTATTCTTGAGGATCCTGAGCTTAGAACATCTTGGAACTCTTTTCTGACCCACCCCTGGCCCACTTACAACTCTGTAGAGAGAAGCGTTTCCGGTCCGGGGCAGGCAAGGTAGTGCCAGGTGCTAGGGGCTCTGGCTGCCCCAGGAGATAGCCTATGGAACGGAGCTGGAAGCAGGGATCAGCCAGGAGCACCGAGGTGGCTTGCTCTGTCCTAGATAGGGAAGGTGCATAGGTAGTGGGAAAGCATTGAGCCTGTGTGAGAATTACCTCTGCTGTGGGGTTGGCTGACAACCCAGAGGCCTCATTATTACGCCTTCTGCATTTTGATGCTTACCAAGCCTCAAGTCCCAGGACCTTAGTAGGACCTGAATCTGATCTCCAGGACCCACAGATGGAAGGAGAAAAACCACTCTCCCACTACTTATCATCTGACTTCTCCGTGAGCACACGCATACACAAATAAGTAAGTCTAAAGGGAGAAGGGCGAGGATTCCGCCTACCACATAATGCATTAATCCTTCAAAAATCACTTAGGGAACATAAACGACAAAAAAGCAAAACTCTCGAGACTTTCTTTTGCTCAAGAGAAGTAAGCCTTCCAGTCAAGTGAACTAGGACGTTGGCGCCCTCTAGCGGTCATGCTGGGTCTTCCAAGTGTCAGGGGCATGGGGCTGCCCCACCCCTTAACAGCAGGAGCCAATAGGAGCTTGGGTCCCCACCCCTGAGCAGTCACTTCCTAGTGAGTACTTAGAATCCCGTCAGAAAAGCGCTTGGAGAAGCTAGCGAACAGTAAGAAGGGCTGGGGCCCCAGCTCACAACCCCAGACCAGAAGAGCAGAAGCCAGCTGGGAGGGTGGAGCCGGCACTGCCTCTCTAGCCATGGGCCACAGGGAACCACAATCGGCAAGCCTGTACACAAGTAGGTGAGTCACGGAGCTGTTGACCAGCACTAAGCTGCCCCCATCTCTTCCCTGGTGGTCACTGCCATGGCCTGGCTGCTGGTGCCAGGCATACTACTGTGCATGCTGGGTGCTGGATTAGGCACTTCAGATTTGGAGGACCTTCTGCCTCTTGCTCCCCACAACTGCCCCAATAAATGCATCTGTGCTGCCGATGTGCTGAGCTGCGCGGGTCATGGATTACAGGACGTGCCGGTAGCATTACCTGCTACTGCTGCAGAACTCGACTTGAGCCACAATGCACTCAAACGTCTGTACCCTGGCTGGCTAGCACCCCTCTCCCGGCTGCGTGTCCTGTACCTAGGCTACAATAAATTGGATGTGCTGGGCCACGGTGTCTTCACCAATGCCAGTGGCTTGAGGACACTTGATCTATCATCTAATATGTTGAAGATACTCCACACCCATGACCTGGATGGACTGGGGAGGCTGGAGAGACTGCTTCTGTTCAATAACCGCCTGGTACACTTGGACCTGGACGCCTTCCAGGGTTTGAACATGCTCAGCCATCTCTATCTTGGCTGCAATGAACTCACCTCTTTTTCTTTCAACCACTTGCATGGTCTGGGAACAACCCACCTGCGCACTCTAGACCTGTCCTCCAACTGGCTGAGACACATCTCCATCTCCAGGCTGGCTGCACTGCCGGCTTTCCTCAAGAATGGGCTCTACTTGCACAACAACCCACTGCCCTGTAACTGCCGCCTCTACCACCTGCTCCAGCGCTGGCACCAGCGGGGCCTAAGTGCCCTGCGGGATTTTGCGCGTGAGTACACATGCTTGGTCTTTCAGGTTTCAGCATCCAGAGTGCGCTTCTTTGAGCACAGCCGGGTGTTTGAGAACTGCTCGGCTGCTGCAGCTCTAGACTTAGAACTGCCTGAAGAACAGCTGGACACGCAAGTGGGGCAGTCCCTGAGGCTCTACTGCAACACCAGCATGCCTGCTGCGCGAGTAGCCTGGGTTTCACCAAAAAATGAGCTGCTTGTTGCACCAGGCTCCCAGGATGGCAGCATTGCTGTGTTGGCTGATGGCAGCTTAGCGATACACAAGGTACAAGAGCAGCACGCTGGCATCTTTGTGTGCCTGGCAACTGGGCCCCGCCTGCACCACAACCAGACACTTGAGTTCAATGTGAGTGTGCATAAACCGCGGCCTGAGCCGGAGACTTTCAACACAGGCTTCACCACATTGCTGGGCTGTATTGTGGGCCTGGTGCTGGTGCTGCTCTACTTGTTTGCACCACCGTGTCGTGGCTGCTGTCACTGCTGCCGACGTTGCCGGCGGACCTGCCGTAACCGCTGCTGGCCCCGAGCACCCAGTCCACTCCAGGAGCTGAGTGCACAGTCCTCAGTGCTCAGCACTACGCCACCAGATGCACCCAGCCGCAAGGCCAGTGTCCACAAGCATGTGGTCTTCCTGGAGCCGGGCAAGAAAGGTCTCAATGGCCGTGTGCAGCTAGCAGTAGCTGAAGACTTCGATCTGTGCAATCCCATGGAGTTGCAACTCAAGGCTGGCTCAGAGTCAGCCAGTTCCACAGGCTCAGACGGTCTCATGATGACCTAGACTGCCTAGGTATCCCCACACAGGACATAGACCTCCTGCTGCTTGCCCTGCCTGCTGCTGCAGTTTAGAGAACTGACATGCTGGGGGGATGCGCTGTGCCTGGTCCTTCAACTGCATGTGAGCCTTGACCTGGACCATAATCGTTCTACTCACTGGTAAAGGGGTTGAGGCTCCCCAATTTGCCTTCTGCTCTGCCTAGCTCAGGATAAGGCCTCGGACTACAAGAGCCTGCTTTCCCTAGGACCTCTTTGAGTAACCAAATGTTCCATGAAGATTAGGGTAAGAGTCCTTGCATTAAAACTCTGGGACCACTTCAAGAGTTAATGCAGATGTTAGGGTGTGGTGTAAGCATACCGCCTCCCCTTCTCTGCCAGGAAGCTCACCAAGGAGGGAGAAGGTGGGTGCCCAGCTCCCACTCTTACAATGGAAGGAATAAATGAGCCCTTCCTCTGCTGAAAGAGGGCCCTATCTACTACTACCACCCAGCCGCTGGAAAGCTTACGACTCCTGTGGAGTCTGGTGGGCATGCGTAACTCCTTCAGGACACTCCTGCAAGAGTAGCCCTGCTGTCTTCAGCTAAAGGTGGAGCCAATCCCATGGGCTCCTAACCCAGCAGAAAAAGCCTGGCGACTATGACTGACCTGGGATTCATGTCCCTGGAGGGCACAAGGCCTCTTAGGACTGGCGCTCATCTCAGCCTAATGGCTGAAGCAGTATCCTGACCTCATAGCCTCTACCACTCCTACGGGCGGGTAGGGAAGAGGGTCGGAGCCCCTCCCAGGATGAGCTGGTGGCTTTCTCTGTCCTAGATACCTACTAAGGCATTTTGTAATAAAGGGGTACATGATCACTGCTGGGCCTTCCCAGATGGGTAACTTTGTGTGCCCGGCTCTTGATCCAGTAGGGTAGCCCCTCACCACCTATCCTTTGTCTCAGTGTCCCAAACTAGATTCTGAGGTTCATTTTGAGATAAACATGTACAACAAGGCCCTGCCCCATCAACCCCTCCTCAAAGGGCACACCCAGTTCCCATGGGGGACAACAGTCCCCAACACTCACTCTGAGGCTGGACCATGCACCAGGAGGCGTACCAGGATGCCGGTCACTGCCACCAGGATAGGGTAGTGGTCCACACTCTCCAGGCCTACAGGGAGGGAAGGAAGATGGAGCATTCACGCAGTTCTGTGGCAGGAGCTTCAGGCAGGCTTTTCCCACTAGTCTTCCTACATAAAGGCAAGCTGAGGCCGGGGCTGCACAGCATGGCTGTCCTGGCACCAAATGCAGAATCTAGCACTGTTGTTCCTGGCACGGAAACTAAGACCTTGGTGTGCTGCGGTGCAGGGCATCTAGATCCTTACCAGGAAGCCGTAGGGTGACCACACGGTCAAACAGGTTCCTCTCAGCTGTCACCCGGTTCAGCACCTGGTTCAGCAGCTGTGAGGGCAGAAGCCTATTGGTGGATGGGCAAGCACACCACTTGAGTTATCCCAGGGTCTTACCCTCCTGGCCCAGATGGACACACCTGTGCAAGACGCCGAAGCAGCATCTCAGAGGTAGGGCGGGACCAGTCAAGGAATATCTCAGGCACCAATGTGATGGTCATTTCCAAGACTCGCAACAAGCTGACCGAGAGGTCAAAGCAGGTGGCACAGACCTTGAGCTGCCGGCTGTCCACAAAGTTTCGCTCCAGGCGTTCAGCCGCCTGTTGAATCTAAGTCACCAACAGAAAGGCAGGAAGCAGTCAGAGGCCTTGAACACTGCTGGGCCTTGGCCTCTGCCCCCTACCCCAACACTCCATAGCCCACCTCCTGGATCATGCCGATGAACTCGGAAAAGGCCCAGTTGAGCTGGTTAAGGACACTGTTGAGGAAGCTGGGTGCTACATCAGGTCCTTGTCGCAGCAGGTCCGCCATGTGCTGCTGCAGTAGGGTGGAAGGGCAGGGTTCTGGGGGCAGATGAAAGCAACATTACCAGGGACTCTCAGCGGGAACCCTGCTTGTCACATACTGGAACACTGGTATAAGAACCAAATGGTGGCTCTCTAAGAATATTCAGATCATGAAAGTAGACAAGCAGCAGAGAACCACTTAGGAGTTAGGAACAAGTATGTCTACCTCCCACTGAGCAAGCCACAGCCCATTGGCCTGGAGCAGCCAGGCGGCTTTTGACCTGATCTGAAGTGAATTCTGAACCGCATGCCTGCGATAAAGTGTCAGATCAGACAACTTAGACTCCACTACTATCAAGGCCACCTTCTGCAAGAGCCCAGACTGGGCCCTGCTGTCCTCTGCTGCCCTTGGCCTGGCCTTGGCATATGGCTTAGGTGGTGAGTGCCAAGTCTGGGGTGGAAGGGCAGCAGTAACCAGAGCTCTCGGCTACAGCTGGCCCGACATTCCTCTCTAACCTCTGATGCAAATCAATAGTCCCAGCACATGGGAAGGTGTCTGCCCCCACTGCCCCTCCCCACCTGCAGTTCAGTTCCCTTCTAGAGTCTAGACAAAGGCGTTTAGCAAGGACTTGCTGTGTGAGGCTGCACAAGGCTCTCTGGGAATACCCAGAGAGCAGGCACTAGCTGAAAGGGGGACACAATGGTGAGTGAGGACTGTGGCCAGCCCGTTCTGCCAGCTGCACAGCTCAAGGTCTCAGCCAGGCCCAGGTGAAGACCCGTGGGCTAACGATCCTTTGGTAGGCACAGGAGACAGTGCAGCTTCTGTTCCCAACCAAATCTGAAGCCACTTTGGGTCCTTATCAGTTTCTAGCTTGTGCCCCTCTTGAGTCAAGGATCCAAGGCCAGAAGATAACAAGAAAGAAGATACACTTTGGGAATGTGGCTGGGGGTAAGGAGGCTGGTGCAGGGCAGGGAATGGAGTGTGTACTGTATGTACATAAGCTAGCAGCAAGTGGAGGGGTGTGGCCCCCCTTTCCCTGTGAGCCCTTCACTACAGGCTGAGGGGAAACAAAAGGACTTGTCCTAGTCTAGCTCTCATTTTTCCTAGGGAGTAGGAAAACTGGAAAACCAAGAAAAGGGTTAGGAGCCTAGAACAAGTCCAGAAGATAAGGCTTGGAGGAACAGGAATCTCAAAGAGACCCTGAGCGTAGTAGGAATGGGTTACCAGCCTGTCTAGAGCTGTCACCAGGACCTGTCCAGTCTGGATACTCACTTTGGAGGCTGGGTAAATTGGCATCCTCTGGCTTGGTTTTCAACAGATGTGGAAGCCGTGTATAGCGGTATCCAAACCCACAGCCCTGGAGGTGAAACAGGAGTCAGAGGGGCAGAGTAACACTTCCTTCCAGCTGGCCTTGGCCATCCCCTCAGGTCAGGCGTACCCTCCAAAGTCGCACTAGGATCCAGTTGGTCTGGGCCCAGGGCCGTTGCTCATAAGGTGCCAAAAGATTCCTCACCATGGCAATACGCCTAGGAAGGTGAAGGATGGCAGACACAGGGTGAGGCTGGACATGATCCTATACAGAGTGGGTGTGTAACCCGCCCCCGCTCCAGGCTTCTACTTACTGCTCCTCGGGGATCCGTTCCACAGCCCGCAGGGAATGTGGGTAGCACACGTAGCTGGCCAGGGCCTGCATCAGGGAGTCTCGAATGTCTGTCAGGATATGCTATGGCTCAGCAAGTCTCTGCATGGGCTGGGACCCCCAAGCCTAATGCCCACATGGCCACAGTTTAGGTAGAAAACAGCTTGCCAGACATGCCATTCCACCCCCAATTCCCAAGGTCCTCTGGAAGACACCTCACCAGTGCCTACGATGCGTGGGTCAGCAAAGTGTTTGGCAAGGGTAGCAGCCAAGCGGGTCAGGGTCTCTTCATAGCCTGTAAAGGAGGGCAGTGAGGACTTCTGACCAGGAGTAAGGGTTCCAAAGAAGGCATGTCCTTTGTCAGGGTGGGCAGGCTTTATGTAGCAGACCCTAGAGCTAGCTGCGGGGACCAGTCTGGACCCATCTTAGCATCTAGAGACACTGGGCAAGGCAACACTATACACTGGCAATTGGGTCCTTCTTTTTTTTAAAATTTATTTATTATGTATATAGTGTTCTGGACACCAGATCTCATTATAGATGGGTGTGAGCCATCATGTGGTTGCTGGGAATTGAACTCAGGACCTCCGGAACAGCAGTCAGTTCTCTTAACCTCTGAGCCATCTCTCCAGCCCTACACTGGCAATTGGGAAGGGGATTAAGGCACAGATCCACCGTGGGGAGCAGAAAGATTCTGATAAGGCACTGACCAAGGCACTTCATTCTGGAATGCACCTGAAGACTCAGCAGTCAGAGCAGCTTGGTTTCCAGAGCTCTGAAGACAGAGCAACACCAAGGACTGGTAGGTGCTGGTAGGCACAAGCGAGGGGCTGCCAGCTTACAGCCTGGATACCCACTGCTAGGCCCAGCCTGGGCCAGTGGTCTTGTTGGTACTGAGCCCAGCAGGGCTCTCCTCTTGTTAAGCTTTACTATACAAGTACTGTGCCTGTCTTACTGCCACCCTGAAACCAACCCCGGGGCAGGGCAGCAAGGTGAGGAGCCAGCTGGCTGTGAGACGACAGCAGCCATCAGCAACAGCAGCAAAGGAGAGAGAGTCAGGGGTCCCTAGCCATCTGCTGTTCTTGGTGCCCCTGGAGAGCTGCCTCTGAGCCTGCGGGCGCTAGTTCAGTACGAAAGCTTGATGTTTGTGGTTGGGTGGTGACAATGAACTTGGGGCCAAGTTCACTCTAAAGATCTCTTCTCTGCACTTCCCTCCCAACTGTGCACATCACCTGGGAGCTCTTCCATGCTGTGCACAGGGCCAAAATAATTCTTGAGAGCACTGTAGCTGTTGATGGCCACGCTTAGGTAGAACTCAGGCATGAAGGCAAAAAGAGATCCTGTGCGATCCCCATGCTCGATGGTCCGCAGGCAGACACGCAGCAGCCAGTAGATATCCAGCATTTTCTCCTGCACGAAACACACACAATGCTGCTGGGCCATTTACTGCGAGGGTCACAGGGGCATGGTCTGGTCTAGGGATCAGGAAGGCCTTCCCATGACAATGACATCAGAACTGAGAGCCGCACTACAGGAAGTGTGCTCAGTGGCCTAAGCTGAAGGAATGAAGTCCTCAGCAGGTAAGAGTCCAGCCAGGCAGGGCAGTACTCTGACAAATGAGAACCAGTTATGACAGGGTAAAGAGATGGGTGTGGAGAGAGGCTACAAAGACAAGTGGGCAGGACTGTGAGGGAGCCACAGCAGTGGCCAGACCTAGGACAGGAGATGGAGAACTGAACAACCAGGACTGGGAAGACAGAGGCTGTGTTCCTACACACTAAGAATGGCATCCCCAAGGGAGAAGGAGTGGATCCGGGGTGGGGAGGTGGAGGGGGCTGGGAAAAGTGGAGGGAGAAGAAACTGCGGTTGGGATGTAATATCTGAGAAAAGAATAAATAAAACACAAAATAACCAGATCAGAGAAAAGCTGTTGCTCAAAAAGAAAAAAAAAATAGTGTTCCCGTTTCTGAGATGATGGAGCAGAGAAGCTGGTGCGGGAAGAGGGAGTGTACCTTAGCACAAAGAGCATGGGGCACCTGTGCACGCTCCCAAAGCATTTGTGTGGAGGAATCAGGCAAATATGGTCTGAGCTCGAAGGAGAAGCTGGTGAGAAAGGAAGGCAGCATGCCCACTGTGGGAAGAGAAGCCAGAAGAAAGAAAGGGTCTAGTCCAATAGTGGCTCTTAGAGTCTCCTTTAGGACTGAGAGGCAGCAAAACCTAAGAAGGTGCCAAGCCCCAGTTCAGAGACACAGAATCTGCACTTGACACGAGCTCTCTAAGGTGTTCCCACATTCCAGTTCCAGAGAAAAAATACACAGAAGGCTGAGGAGTGGACTTGAGTCCACACATGGGCAGTGCATACACTGTCACTATGGAAGACCCAGAAAAGTGAGCCCGAGGCAAGATGACAATGGCGCCATTGTAGCCAAGGGCCCAAATGATGAAGATGTCCCACTGAGGCTGGGGACAGGACAGAAATGTGAGCACTATCTCAGAGAGGCAGAGGAGCCTGTGCTTGATCAAGCACTGGGGGAAGGGAGGTCGCTAAGACAGCAGGGAGGAGGGAGTGCTACCAGCAGGTGCAGTCCAGGGAAAAGTGCACACTCACACACTCACCCTTTAATAATGGGGCACACTGCACAGAGCAGGCAGAGTGAGTGCTGAAGATGCAGGAAGAGAAGGCAGCCCAACAAAAGGAGGCCAGTTATGAAAAGCCTGCACCCCACATCATGCTCAGGGTCCCAAATTTGGGGTTCAGAACAGGCCCATTTTTATTACTTCTATTCAACACAGTATTGGGGACCACAGCCAGGGAAAACTAGGTAGGAAAAACAAAAGGCATCCAAATTAGGATGGGAACAGTAAAGTCACCTCTATTCACAAACACTCTCTTATGCTTAGAAATCCTAAAGGGCAAACACACACAAGGAGAGAGAATCAGAAACAAATTTGAGATGGGGGCTGGAGAGATGGCTCAGTGGTTAAGAACACTGGTTGCTCTTCCAGAGGACTGGGGTTCTGCCAGCACGTACAACTTACAACTGTCTGTAACTCCTATGCTGGGGATCTGACAGCCACACACAGATATACATGCAGGCAAAACAATAGCATACATAAAATAAATAAATTACTTTAAAAAAAACCCACAACTATAGGGCTGGAAAGATGGCTCAGTGGTTACATATGTACAGACCAAGGAGACAGTAAGGGAGTCGGGGGTTAACCCTTTCATCTGTCAGTTGATTTTGACAAGGAATCAACAGGGAAAGACTGGTCCTCTCCGACAACAGGATACTGTAGTCCCACACACAGAAGAATGGAAGCGAACCTTGCTTTATGCCATTTACAAAAATTAACTCAAAGTGGATCAGAACCATAAATTTAAGACTCAAAAGTAAGCCTGGAGGTTGTGTACACCTTTAATCCCAGCACTCAGGAGACAGAGGCAGGTAGATCTCTGTGAGTTCGAGGCTAGCCTGGTCTACAGAGCAAGTTCCAAGACAGCCAAAGTAAAGAAATCCTGTCTCAAAAATGAACAAACAAACAAAAAGACTCAAAAGTATACAGCTCTTAATGAAAACAGTGAACAACAACCAAGGCAGAGGAGGTGGAAGATAAGGGTCCTGAGATGGTGGTGTGGGAGGGCTTGGCCAGACTGCCAAGAGAGGGGGCTGGGTGTGAGAGCCCAGTGGTGGGGAGCTTCCAACACAATGTCTCTGCTGGTTTTGACAGCAGGAGGAGAAAGAGGTAAAAGGTAGAAGTGGTTTAACTATGGAGAAGGTTAAGTATTAGGAGACACACTGAGCAGAGATAACTGGGTAGAAATGGAGATGCCAATAGCTTTGACTCCCCAGTTCCAGGGGAAGAATATGCTTCTCTCCATGGTAACCTAGGAACAGCCCCCTGGCACCACTACTTCCAAGAGGGATAGGCAGAAGAAACTAGTTGAGAGGGGCAAGGGCCAAATTTCAGTCTCAAAGGGAATGCATAGTCAGCCCTCCCTGTACTCCACTGGCCTGGGAGGGTGGAAGCTCATCCTTCGGGTTGTGTATGTGTGACAAGTGTCCAGATAGCCCCTGAACACTCAGGTCTTTACTGAATGAATAAGCAAGTGACAGAGAATGAGAAGAAAAGTGTCAAGACTCAAGAAGTAGCAGGTGAGTTAACCAGAGGCAGACACAGGAAAGCAAGGCTCAGGGAGGGCCACAAAGCCCCGGATGTGCTGGCAGGGGTGGAGTGGTTGGTGCCTGAAAGGAGAGGTAAGGAGAGGAGGCAGGAGTCATGGGCTGAAGTGCTAAGGTGAGCAGAAATGACCCCTACTTAAGTCCATAGGCACAAAAGAAATGGCCTGGTGTGTGAGAAGACGATCTGAAGAAGAGGGAAGGAGTTTGTGCCAGGACCCCAAGAAGACTGGGGTCCTTAAGGGTCCTAGTACAACCGTGCCCAGCCTACAGTCAAACAGATGTTGAAAACAGGTCATGCTGGACAGAGCCATGGCTACTCACCTGGGAGTAGACAGTGGCGTGGACCCAGGCAAGCCGGCGGCTCAGGTGGTCCAGCTTTTCTGAGAAAACTTTCTGGCTCTTGGTCAGCTCTGCAAGGATATCCTTTCTCTAGCCCACAAGAAGAAAAAAAGACAATCAGAATATGGGCTCACGCCCATATCTCACTAGGCAGTTTGATGTGGGCCCTAGCCCAGGGAAGATGAGGGAGGGTGGGGCTCCACTTAGAAAGCTCACTTCTGCCAGTGGTGATCAGTTGACAGCCTAGCAAGTCCCAGAAGAAAGCCCTGTCTAACTCCTCTGTGAGCTCCTGGGGTGAGCATCCAGGGACACAGGGCCAGACTGCAACTTCAATGGTTGGGCAGGCCAAGGCTTTGGTGACAGTGGGAAGAGAAGGCCTGCTAAGGAGGCCCAGCCCAGGCAAGGCATGCCATGGCAGAGGGGCTCCAGGGGACTGGGAGAGCCGGGCCTGCTTCCTGCTGACTCTCGGTGGCTGAGGAGGCACTCAAGGTCCATCCATTATTAACGAGGGTGATGGCTATGCATCAGCACTTAGTGAGCAGGCAGGGGTGGGGAACCTTGGCACAGGCTGCAGCTGGTTGATGGGGCTCAGGATAGACAGGCTCCTCAGCCAGCCTTGCTCTCACCGCTTGGTGCAGTCAGGGTAGGGACAAGGGAAAATGTTGGGGCATCCCCAGAACAAGATTTCCTTTGTGGGATGCCCTGGTATACTAGGGACCCCCAAGCATACTGTCTCTGTGCCACACCCTTCTGCTCCAATACCACCTTCCTGCCCAGCCTTACCCTCTTGGGGCAGCGACGGAGTTTGTCCTCTGTGTCTCTCAGGGCCATTGCATACTCGTTGACATCATCGGACACGCCCACCATCTGGAGTATTGAACACCACGTATTCAGGGTGACCCTTGGGTACCTTAACCAAGCTTTTGAAAACACAATCTGGCCCCAGCCTGCAGAGTTCCCAAATTTCTGTCTCTTCCTACAAAAATACTACAGTCAGAGCCAGGCAGCATCAGCAGAGTCCTGCTGTGTGACATGCTCGTGTGCACTGACACCCCACAGGCAGGCGTGGAAGCACTCATGCATCCCACCAGGCAGAACACCGCTCACGACAAACATGGATTGACAGCGCAAGACCTTGCCCAGCTGCTGGTGGACGCTGAGGTTATACATCATGACAGTGCCATCCAGGACTTCCAACAGTGAGTTCTCCGTAAGGGGCTGCTCGGGCTCCTCAGGGGGTCTCCCCAACAGCAGGCCCTCATTCCAGTGGCTGCCCTCAACTGGGGAGCAGAAGACAGAACGACAGTCAGGCTTTTCTATTTGTTCTTTGAGACAGGGTCTTGCTATGTAGACCAGGCTGGCGCTAAACTCCCAGAGCTCTGACTCCCTCTGCTTAACTAGTGCTGGGATTGAAGGCGGTGCTGCCTCACCCCGCTTCCCATTTCCTCTTAAATACGCACAGGCTGTATGAGTCTTCTAGGAGGAGAGGGGATTCCCTCTCTCTTCCTTGTCTAGGAAGGGAGCTTCAGGGAGAATGGGTCAAGGGAGGGTGGGGTGCAGGGCAAGGCCCTGCAGCACCAGAATCTATTTTTGTAATATTGATTTCACGTCTTCAGATTGCGCTTCCTGTGCCCTTGGGATGTGGCCAGGCCTCAAGGTGGTAGGGAGTGGGGGGAGGTGAGGACTATTCTGGCTTTGCCAACGATAAGGGGTTAAACACAGCAGCAGGCTCCCTCAGCAGCTCCACCTAGCACCTACTGTCCTCGCGAGTCCTCTGTTCCACGTTCAGCGAGCGGACCTTTACTTTCTCCATGGTGCTCAGAGGTCGCCGTGGGGTCATGAGGCTCACAGCTGCTGTGCTGAGGAAGCGGTTGGCTCGGCCCAGGGTTGGAGAACTGAGCCAGCCTGGCCGGGGCAGGGGCAGTGCCCCTCCCATGGCCAGGGCTTGCATAGGACGCTGTGGTGGAGAAAGGGGTTCAGAAGCTAATCAACTCTCCTGGGGCCTGTGTAGGACGCACTTGATGTACAGAGTAGGGGGAATGGACAGGGAGAGGTCATGCTCCATCAGCATGTGGAGATGATCCTGTGAGAAGATCCTTGCCTACACGGAGAGAAGCTGGACGTGTGTCATACCCCTGCTTACAAGATGGAACTTCTTGCTGCCGCTACTGCCTCACCTGGGCCGCCGTTGGGGCTGGCTCTTCATCCTCATCCAGGTCATCCATGGTAGCTGCCTGGAGCTCCAGGGGGTCAATCACGATATTGGCTTTGGAAGCAAGGTCATCTGGGAGACATGCAGGATGGGAGGCTTAGGCCAGCTACAGAAGAGGGGCCCTGGACAGAACTGCTCTGAGCGGTGACAGCACTGGCAGGCTGGGGGTGGGGGGTATGCACAGCCTACCCCCCACTGTCCCTCTTACTCCAGCCCAGTCTTCTCTCTACAACACAGGGGCCCCTCTAGCTGCAACCAGCAGCAGGAGGCACCCCATTACCCCAGCACTCCTGTGGGTCTCTAGTTTCCTGTAAGACTACTCCATATAACCCACACAGGCACACCCTGTCTTGCACAGACAGTCCAAGCTCGCCTCCAGCTCAGGGTTTGCAGGTCTCTCCAATGCCCTGGACTTGAGATCTCAGAATCCCTCTGCAGCCCCTCACTCTGATGACGTCAGCTGCAGAGCATCTAGCATGATCAAGGTTACTCACTGCTCTATGATGCCTGCTTCACACGTGGATAACGGTCCCCCTGCAGTCCATTCCAGAGGGAGTGTCTCATAATGGAGACCTAACTTCAGTCCCCAGCCTCTCCCAGGCCTTCCAAAGCTGTCTGTGGAGATTTGGGGCCTTCTGTGTGGCCTGTAAAAGCTTCAGACTGGCCTCCCCTCACAGGTCCCTGCCTCAGACTTGAATTCCCAGCAAGTGTCTGCAGGCCATACTGGGCTGCTTCTGACTTTCATTGTTACTTTTTTGTTTTGTTTTTGTTTCTCAAGACAGGGTTTCTCTGTGTAACTGCCCTGCTATTTTGGAACTAGCTCTTGTAGTCCAGGCTGGCCTCAGATTCACAGAGATCCACCTGCCCCTACCTCCCAAGTGCTGGGATTAAAGGTGTGCGCCACCATGTCAAGTGTTGTTGCTTATTTTTAATATAATGTTTTTATATTTATTTTTACTTGTATGAGTGGTTTTGTACCATGTGCAAGCCTGGTATCCAGAGAGATGCCCTGGATCCCCTGGAACTGGAGTTACAGACTCTTGTGAGCTGCCCTGTGGGTGCTAGCACTCAATCCCGGGCCCTCAGCAAAAGTAATAAGTGCTCATAACTGCTGAGCCTGCTGTCCCAGGACCCTGTTTGTTGTTTTTTAAAGGAAGGTCTCACTACATAGCCATGGCTGGCCTAGAACTCACAGAGATCTACCTGCCTCTACCCTCCTGAGTGCTGTTATTTTACAGTGTGTGCCACCATACTCCGCTCACTTTGACACTCTTGCCCTTGGGTTCACAGTAGCAAAGGCCCTTTGTACCATAGTGAGCTCTGCTCAGCAATGAAAGCAGCTCAGATAGCACTGACACACCCCTTACCAGGCTACTAAATCCCGTGTCAATACATCTGGCCTTTTTTTTTTTTTTTTTTTTTGGTTTTTCGAGACAGGGTTTCTTTGTGTAACAGCTCTGGCTGTCCTGGACCTCACTCTATAGATCAGGCTGGCCTCGAACTCACAGAGATCTGTCTCTGCCTCCCAAGTGCTGGAAGTAAAGGCCTGTGCCACCACTGCCCGGCCATCTGGCTCTATTTCATTAGTGCATTCCTAGCCTATCTCTAGTGCCCAAGGAAGGCACAGCTGACTAAACTGGAGATCAAATGCAGCCTAGCCGGTCAGTAAGCCCTGACTAAATGGGTAAGAAAGACTTGGGCACCCTCTAGTGGACAAGGGTGGCTCAGCACCCACAGCACTGCAGGCTCAGAGGCAGCCAGGGCTGTTCACTACGACAGCTTCCACTCACCTTTTAGGGTCTTTCGAAGGTGTGAGAGGAGGCCCCCAAGGCGCTGAAGGTCAAAGTAATCCACCTTGCCATTGTAGAAGATCTGTGGTGGGACATAAGCCTCTGCAGGGAGTCAGGGGTGCAGGGGCAGCAGTCAGGGCTCAGTGGAACTCTGCAGAGCCGCACCTGCCACTCGAGCCGTCTGACCTTGGTCATCCATCGGCCCAGGCAGACTGCAGAGCCAGAGCCCAGGCCTCCTTGTCTCTCTCACTCCTTGCTGTTTTAGGTTAGCCAACAGCTGTAGGACTTGGGGTGAGGGGAGAATTCTTGGCAGCTGGTTACTCAAGAGAACGAAAGGACAAACTCTATGGGATATCCCCCAACCCAGAGTGCCTAAATCTCCTACTGACCCCTGGGGACTCTATCTGTCCAGATGCAGGAGCCCCAGGACCCATCCGAGGCATCTTCACAAAAGGCTGCACAGAGATCTAGGTACCAGGACTAAGGAATAATGCCTGTCACGGGCAGGAGCCTGTGGAAGCAACCAGTCAACACAGATCTAAAGGTCCCAGAGTGTGGGGCTCCCGAAATGGACTTAGCTGGGCAAAGAAAGGCCCAGTAATCCTCACACCCAGCTCAGCTCTCTCCACCACCACCAGCAACTACCGCAGACCTGGTTCAATCCAGCTCTGCCAACCTGGGGTCTGGCATCACTTACCCTCACTGAAGGCAGCACGGGGGTTGGAAACTTTGTATTCGTCCCAATAGAAGCGCAGGGCAGATACCAGCCGGTGTAAGAAACAGACCATGTACTCAGGGGGGCAGAGCGTGGGCATGTTCTGGGGGCAGATGACAGAAGACATACATTGGTGCCAGGCCAGAGGCCAGCTTATTCCTCATCCAAGGCTGTGCGCCAGGATCCCGGGAGGAAAAGCTGGCAAGAACAGCACATGTGAGACAGGTCAGAGGCAGGCCGAGAGGCGCCAGGTGCCCAGATTGCAGCCCCTGCAACACAGCCAGGAGCCCATAATGGTTGCCCTGGAGGATACCTACCCCCCGGCCACTGGCATTCTCCTGTAGAAACTTCCGGAATTTTGTCAGAAAAATGTACCTAGAAGCTTCGCCCTTCAAGGAATGGGAAAATGAGGCTGTGTTGAGCTGACAGTTACCTTACCCAGAGTCCGAGCCAGCCACTGCTCTAGGGCTCGGGGCCCGAAACAACATCCCTCCTCGCCAGGGATTCACACAGGAGTCTCGGGTCACTTACCCCATTGTCATCCTTATTATCCAACAGCAGCTTCAAGATCTGGACCTGGAGTCCTTCCACCACTGGGATGGGGCAGGAAATATAACCCTTAGGCTCCCAGGAATAGAAGCAGGCAGAACTTTGTGTCGGGCCTCCACCACCAGGGTTCCCCGCGCCTACTAGGAACTAGGAACTAGGAACTAGTACAGTCACCACCAACTGCTCCTACCCAAGGCCTGAGGCCAGGGCTGACCTTCAATGCGCTTCTTGAGTCTTTGGCAGCCTCGCTCGTAGGCTCGCCTCCTTTGCCGCTCCTCAGCGGTCTCCTCCTCTGCCTCCTTACTGTCTCTGCCCTGGGCAGGAACAGAGGACAGGAGAAAGTGGGGTTTCCTGGGGACTGACTTACCCAGGACTACTTCACATGGAAGTCCTCACCCTGAGAACTTCAGGGACCCGGGCAAAAGAGGCCTCAGGTAGTGGGAGGTGCCCATGTACAATGGGCCAGGCCCTCACTGTGCCAGCTCCCACCCCATGCAAGGTCTGCCCACCTCCCTGCTGGAGCGATGGGGCCACCAAGTGGTGGGAATGAGTTCCTGCAGGCCAGCCTCCTCCACACGCAGGGGACTCTTAATATAAAAGAAGACCACGGACCGAAGCATGTCAAAACTGGTAACTGTCAAGGAAGAACTTGGCTCACCAAAGAACCTGCTATATGCCCCCACGAGCCCTTTCTTGGAAGCCCACCTTGATGTACCTACCATAGCTCTCCCATCGACAAAGATGCCAATCTCACCATGTAACTGTCTCCTAGGTTGTGAACCTCAAGAAAGATCTATGGCTATCAACTCAGCAAGCCTGCTACCCAGCAAGGGTATGATACAAACTTGTTAAAGGAACAGGTGGATGGGATGGGCCTGCTGGTCCATCTCAGGCCCCAATTTTGGTTCCTATGTCCCACTGTTTCTGCTTGCTGGAGGCTGGAAGATACCAGACTAAGGTGGGTAGTGCTTAGGATTCCCAAATAGATCATAACACTGGAGAAACAGGAAGACCTGCCTCTTCAGAGAAGACCCTGTCTGTGCACTCAGACAAAAGTACAGAGATGAGACTAACGAGAACACCTCCACACACAGCTGCAGTGAAGAGCCCTGTTCAGCCAGTCAGGCAACTGCAGGCCTCCCCATTGCCTTCTCTGTTCTGCAGGACTCAGCTGTGGTCTCCTGAACCGTCCTAGAGACGCCTGGAGTGGTGAACACTGCCCTCTGCTGACCTTGGAAGGCACTACATGGCAGGTCTGCCTACCATCGAGAGGATACAGGACGTTACTAAGCAGAAACTTGCGGGACTTCTCGTGTCTCAGGATAGAAATAGTGAGGCGCAGGTAGTGGATCTGTGGAGAAAGGGGTGCTCAGAATCGGCAGCGAGGCTTGGGGCTTTCGGGGCAGGGACAGATGCTCCCACCTGTAGACCCAGGTCTGGAACAATCGGTGAGAACCGGTAGAGACGCAGCAGAGACATCATCAACTGCTTGAGGCAATCCTGTACCTCATAGTCCTGAGAAGAGATGCTAGGGCAGCCATGACAGGGGCCTTTTCCGGGACCCTACCATACCTCCCTTGCTCTGATGAGTCTGGCAGCCTGGCCTGAGCCTGGAGTCAGAAGTCTTACCTCCATGAAGAGCCACAAGAGGTCCAAGATCTGGTGTACTACAGCCTGTGCCTGCTCAGGCGTGCCCTTCTCCGTGATCCCCAGCAGGAAGCTCATGAACACAGCCTCCACGAGGTAAACCTTGCGCTACACCAAAGGGCAGGCACTAGTTAAGTGGGGCCTCCTGCTGCTTAGGAGACCCCTGCTCATGTTGAAGAAGCAGGCCTCAGACACAAGTCTTGAGCCTTTCAAGCAATTCTACCAGAGATGAGCCCCTTCCAGAGTCTGACTGAGGAACAAGAGGAGTTGCTGGCCCGTAATCTCTCCAGGGCTTTGTCACACCATTTCCTCAGCTGGTGACATCAAAACCCTTCTTCCCCTGGATGCTCTCCTTAAAGTCTGAGGCCTGTGGCCATACAGAACCCTGGCAGCTAATGCTACTGTATCTCACGTGAGCCCCAGCAGATGCAGGTATCTACCACGGACACATCTAACATGCCCCCTCTTCCCCTCCCTGAAGTCTCACCAGAAGTGGTGCGAAGTGATGGAAGATGTGGGCCAGTGTAAGCAGGACAGTGGGCTGCCCTTGCAGCTGCCACTCAGAGCTCTCCTTCTCCACCAACCGCCCTTCCTGTAGGTGGAGAAAAAGACCATAAGGGGAGGAGGGCTGGGGTAAGACCCCTGTTTCCCCAGCCCAGACTCTGGCTCACCACAGGGTCCAGTTCCACACTCAGCACCGCCTGGAAACAGCCCAGCAATCTCTGTGCCCGCACCAGGTCAGCAAATGGAGGGTCCTGCAGGGGCCGGAAGCCCGCAACTGGGTAGGTGCCACAGAGTTAAGCCAGCAACCTGAGGATCAGACACATCCCCCCCTCCCTCCCTCCCTCCCTTCCTTTCTCCCTCCACCAAGAGCCTAACCAGGGGCCCAGTCTGCATCGCAGCTCTCCCGCTCAGTATCTGAGGGATAAAAACTCATCTGTCATTTTACAGTCTTCATCTGCTCAATGAAGACAATTAATGGCACCCACCTTAAAAGGACTTTTGTCCTTGGACCAACCTAACTAAGCTGCATCTTGTGTACCTATTGCAGCAACTAGGCTTGCCACCAGCCCACAGTGCTCCTGGGTAGGGAGACCCTCATTTTAGATGCCAAGCCACCCACAATCATCTTCCCAAAATGATATCGCAAAGGACGGCTGCCGAAGTTGAATGCCACAGACTCCTTGAATGACAGGCTGATGGCTGGGAAGTAGGCCATTCCTAGGCCCCTGGAAAGGTTCTCAAAGGCGGTGCCCAGCGACACACCATTCCTGGGAAGGAAAGGGTAGGTCTATAAGCCAATGCTAGGAAGGGTATGGGTGCCCACCTTTGGTCTACTGAACTTGGCCTGGCTCCCTTAGAGGAGCAGTCTGGCCAGGTCTATAAAGATAGGAGACTCACAGGCAAAAGGATAGAGTACCATCATCCAGATCAATGAGGCAGCTCACAATGTCCCCCGCTGCCCATGCCTGCCATGGAAGAAAGCTTTACAGACACGAAGAAGCACAGCTGCCTGCCCGATCCACATTCCAGTTGCATTCCTAGGACCACCCAGGGAAGACTGACCACAAGGAGACAGGGGTCTCCAAACCCCAGACCCTTCCCTGGTATCTGAAGTCCTTCATGGTTAGCCTGTGGCTCTAGACCACAAGCAATGGGGTGGTTATGAGGTTGGTGATCCACGGAAGCCCAGCCCTCACCTTGCCATAATTTGTTGTGGTCACGTTCCATTTGCGCACCCGGTTCCCATCATAGGCGTAGGAGTTATGTGTATCTCCAACCCCTTCCTGGGAAGAAACTGCTTGTGAGGTCTGGGGAAGATGGGTAAGAGCAGGCCAGAGCCCACCAGTTGCTAACCTAGTGCCCACACGACTCTAGAGATGGGTGTGACGTGTTTGCAAAGGGACCAAAAGTGAAGGGTCCTATACTAGGTGCCCTCAAGTAGAATGGAGCATATTCCATCTTTAGTGGGCAACCCAGATCAGGCTCCTGAGCGGGTCTGGGGCTGCTCCTGCTCTGAGGATGCCTGCAACACAGGAACTCTCTGGGAGAGCCCTTCCCGTGTGTGTACCTCCTGGTTAAAGCGGCAGTTGATGGTGCACCAGCCGATCTGCATGAGACCCTGCGAGGAGATGAGCACCTCGTAGACCCACTTCCCTGGAGGAGCAGAGGTAGGCCCAGTGAATGAAGATGGCCTCTTGCCTCAGTTTCCTCCCAGCTCTCTGAGCCTCAGTGGAGCATGAGCTCACCTTTGTACACACATGTGGTAGAACGGATAGTGCCAAAGTTGCTGTGGCCAATCACCTGGATACAGAAAAAGTAGTGTTTCTCTCCAGGCACACATTTTTGTCCCCAGCTGGGTTAACACTGGTGGCACAAGTTTGTCGTGGCCAACACTGCACTGTGTCTGGCTGAGACAGGAGAGACTGTCAAGAGCTTCAGGGACAGAGGCATGATGGAACCAGGGCTTTGCTGAGAGGGGTTGAGGTAGTGACTGCACCAAGGTTTCAGGACTGTGGCAGGAAGGCTAAGGGCTGGGGACACCAAGGTATGGAGCAGTGTCAAGAGGAGGGTATGGCTAGCTCCATGAGGATGGACACAGAGGGTAGGGCCATGTCAGGAGAGCTTGGGGCTCAACTAGGGGCCCACAACACATGCTCACTCACCCCCAGGAGGTCATCGTCCACAAGGAGAAGCCCCTCAAAGCCTCCTGTATGGTCTAGGACCACGGTAGATGGCCCAAGTCGCCCCTCAACTTGTCCTGAGAAGGGGAGATGTGTGAGATCAGGAGGGCAGAGGAGCTTACAGACACAGGAGATGTGAGTTCAGCAGAGAACCCTAGGACTTGGCACCGTACTTGCATACCCACTCCAAAGAATGCCTCGTACCCTGGCTCTCCTCGTCTTCGCTGTCCACCTGGAGCAACTGGTCCACGTGCTCTGGCAGGTTATGGAAGTTCAGGGGTTTCCTGGAAAGTGAGAGGATGCTGGGCCCACAAGTCTTGAGATCATCCAGACCGCAATCACCCTGAGCCCTTTCTGCTGGCTGGTTAAGCTCTGGAGGAAGGGCTTACCTGGCTACAGACTCTGGTAAACTAGCAGGAGCTAACTCTAAGAGCTGACAGATGGGATTAGCCACTAAGCTAAAACCTATAAGCACCGTACCTCAGGACTGTTTAAAAAGCAGAACTCATCAGCCTCAGGCTGGGGAGATAGCATGGCCAGGAAAGAACTTGTCTGGCAATAAAAAGGACCAGAGCAAGAACCCAAGTAAGAAAAAAAAGTTGGGTATTATGACACGTGTGTATAATTTCAGCACTGTTCAGCACTGGGAAAGAGGACGCAGGGGGATGGATCCCTGGGTCTCACTGGTGAGCCAACTAGCCCGCTTTAACAAGGTCCTGGCCAGTAAGAGATCCTGCCTCAAAACAAACAAAAAGAGGACAGTATCTAAGGAGTGACACAGGAGTTTGTCCTCTGACCTCCACATGCCCCACATGCTCCCATGCTTCCAAGTGCATGGGTGTGCATGCTTGCACACACACACACACACACACACACACACACCAACTAGCCCTCTAAGTCGTAATTTCCTTATCTGTAAACAAACAAAACAATAATCACAACGAAAAGGAAAAATAAACTAGCTGTATACCACGCTGTGACGATTCCCACGAAAGCACGTGCTCCCAAGTCACTCTTAACCTACATTCTCTCAGATGCATCTGTGTTGACTGTGGCTGAGAAGATGAGGCTGGGAGGATTGCCAGCTGCCAAATGGGCCAGCACCAGGATTATCTAATCTAGTCCTTAACCCTAAACCTGCAGTTCTTTTGGCAGCAACTTTCTCTACTACTCAGCCAAGAGAGACATGTTGGTCAGACATGCCCTGGCATTACAAAGGGCCTGCCCTCTGAGGGGCTGGCCGGCCCTCTCCTATACCTTCCTGTCTTTGGATGTTCATCAGAATACATGGCCCATCTGCCCACAATCTTTTGCAGCCAAAAGGGCTGGGCAAGTTTGGGCAGCTGCCTAATCTTCTCAGCACACGTGTCCTGAGTTCAAAGGACCTATCAGGCTGGGCACACTTGTACACACCTTTAATTCCAGCACTCAGGAGGCTGAGTCAGGAGAATTGCAAGTTTGAGACCAGACAGGGCCACACAGCAAGACCCTGGTGTTTGAGGGGGAGGGAGGAAGACCTGACCTGAGCTCAGCTCCTAAGAATAGCAGGCAGTGTATTAACAACCCGCAGGACTTGGCAGAGCAGAGGTCTGCAGCCCATCTGGATCCAGTTCACAGACTAGCACCTGTTCTTCCCTAATCTCAGTACCTGCTTTCCTTACCTAACAGCAAGCTCTGGAAGGGTCAGATGAGCCAACGCACTAACTCCCATAAGGTAGCTATGACCCAGGTCCACAGATCACACGCTTCCCTGCTGTACAACAGGGCTGAATCCAAACTGCAAGAGGTGGATATATACAAGGCCCCTCCTCACCCTTGCTGAATCCTAGGCCGATGTCAGGAGCCAGCAATACAGTTAACCTAGCCAGTAACAAGGAAGACTAAAGGCAACCCTATGTCTGAATAGCCCGATAGTCCAAAGGCTAAAGGAAGTCTTCTCAAAAGCCATTCTTGCAGGCCCACGATTTAGGAGGTGTATGCTCTGTGCCTATGGCAACAGCACACAATACATAGCTCTGAGCAGCTGCTCTGAGATAGCCTCCATTGAGGTACTATCCATTCGGCAAACCCTGCCTGCCCTTTCTGGGATTTCCCAGGTCCCAGCCTAGAATCCTACATCTCCACAACCAAGTGCCTGATGGCCCTGCCTCCTGTGGTCACAGCACTAGCAGTAGCATCTGCTAGTGGTCATATGGGGTAGAAATCGGAGGGCCCTAGGAAGAAGCCAGGATTAGATCAAGAGTGAAGGCAGATAGGAGCCCTTCAGAAGCAGGAGCTTGCTGACCACCATGCTACTTAAATAGAACAGTAATAAGGCTGTCTCTGGGCTTCCCAAAGAGTAGAGACTGTGAAAAGCAGAGCAGCCACATGGTCCAGGGAACACACAGGTAGGGAAATCCATGCTTCAGGGTAGGAAAAACATACATGACCTCATAAATAAATTAGGCTGGCAATAATTTTAAAAGGGATTGCAGAATGGGCATGGTGCCTGTATTCCCATCACTTGGAAGCTAAGGTAGAAGCCTATCAATTTGGGAACAGTCTGGGCTATGCAGCAAAATCAATTTTTTTTCCTCTGGACAGGGTTTCTTGGCTGTCCTGGAACCTACCTTGTAGACCAGGCTGGCCTTGAACTCAGAGTTTGCCTTCCAAGTGCTGAAATTAAAGGTGTGCGCTACCACTGCCCCACAGAAATCACTTATCTCAAAAAAAGAAGTAGCTGCAGGTCAAATAGTTTAGCCATCCCTGGGCACCCTCGCAGCATGTTTACACAAGCAAAAGCACCTCCAAAATGAGCACAGTGGTGGCGTCCATAGAAGACTCTGTACCTAAAATATGTCCACCAAAATCAATTCAGAATATGGAAAAATGTTCATGGAATAAACATGATGGTAAAAATAGAATTCTAAAGCTGGGCAGAAGCAGGCAGATCTCTGTGAGTTCAAAGCCAGCCTGGTCTACATAGTGATTGGTCTACATACTGGGTTCCAAGACATCTAGTGCTACATAGAGACACCCTGCCTCAAAAAAAAAAAAAAAAACCAAAAAAACAAACAAACAACAACAACAACAAAAAAGCTAATTTCCATAAACATTTAGAAGTGAAGAATATGTTTATTAGTTTGATGCTAGTGATTGTTTCACAGGTTTTACACACACACACACACACACACACACACACACACACAAACCTGTTATTTTAAAAAGCTGCGCCTGCTGGGCTTTAATTCCAGCCCTTGAGAGGCGAAGGCAGGTGGAAATCTTGAGTTCGAGGCCAGCCTGGTCTACAGAGGGAGTTCCAGGACAGTCAGGTCTACACAGAGAAACCCTGTCTCAAAAAGGAAAAAAATAAAAATAAAAGGGGGGGGAAGGAAAGTAGAAAAACAAAACTGGGTTTTCCAGGAAGAGTGGAAGGGGAAGGTTGAGGGTGGACACGATCAAGATGACACATTGTACGCAGCTGTGCCATTAGTCCCAGCACTTGGCAGGAAGGTCTGAGTTTGAGGCCGGCCTGAGTTCAATCCCAAATTGTCCTCTGACTTCCAAAAGTAAGCTCTGTGGCAAGCACAAGCCCCCAAACACACACCAAAAAGAAAAAGAAAGAAAAGGTGCAAAGGGCCTAGTGGCACTACAGGTGTGGGGCACTATAATCTGAATACTTAGGTGGTAGAGGCAGAAACCCTCCTCCTCCCCCACCCGCCAAGCTCCAGGGCACTTGGCCGAAATTGAGAGTTCCAGGTCAACCTGTCTTACACAGGGAGACCCAGTATCAAAAACAAAAACAAAAGCAACTTTTCTTTCTTTCTTTTGGGTTCTTCAAGACAGGGTTTCTCTGTAGCTTTGGAGCCTGTCCTGGAACTAGCTCTTGTAGACCAGGTTGGCCTCGAACTCACAGAGATCTGCCTGCCTCTGCTTCCCCTGTGCTGGGACTAAAGGCGTGCGCCACCACCAGCAGGCTGCAACTTGTCATCTTGAACGTTTAAAAAATGTAGTAAACAATGTAGTTTACTTTGTTTCAATTATTATACAATAATAATAACAATGTTTCCTTTCCTCTTGTAGAACAGTCTTTAACTTGGGTCCTCCTGATTTTTAGCATCCCCAAATGTTGGGGTTACATTCCTGAGCCACCACCCTTTGGAACATTGTTTTTTCCATAAGGGCTCAGGCTTTTTTAAAGTCTGATATTCTGTAGAATCTGAACTATGTACATTGTGAGTTAAAGAAACCAGAAAGGGATCACATTCAAATGGTTACATCTAACTAACAACAGAACAGGGGTGTTGCTTCTATTTGTTTTGAAGTTTCTGCTACTTGTAGCTTTTACGCAGATTGAACACAAGTGTATCCAGCTGAGGTTTCTATTATGTTAAATTCAGGCAGAGGCACAAACGGCCAGGGCAGAGTAGAGGTACAGAGACATATCCATAAGGCCAGATGCTAGTGCACACAAATCCTTCCTTCCCTGGGCCCTCCTCAGAAGGAAGGAGCTAGCTCTATCTGGAGAGAGGAACAGAGTCCAGAGAACAGACTGGAGGCACAGGTCTCACAGCAGGGAACAGAACCCAAGCCAGGCTGCCCTTCCCCATAATGACAGTTTCCAATCTCCGATTCAGCCCAACAGAGAGAACTGGGGCTACACACCCAACCATACCTGCTGGTGGCTGCAGGGGGCCCACGGTCAGGAGAGGAAAAGATACGGTACAGGTAGTCATTCAGTAGTTTCTCCTGCACAATGCCTGGGTCACAGATCAGAAGAGAGGAAAGACGTAGGTGATCAGAACAGCTCTTGGTCCCTACTGTCCCCACAGACAGCTAGCCTTTGGCTAGCCACAAGGGTCAGCAGAGCAACCACACTGGGAGCATGGGTGCTGGCAAAGAACCAGTCACAGGGACAAGGTGTATTAGAAGGCCCAAGTTTCGGGGGACCTGGGCCCTTGCTGCATTTTCCCTTCCTTCTCCTTCCCCAATACAAAGAGCACACACACACACACCGCCCTGCCAGCCCTTACCTGTGACCCTGGACTTCTCAGCATCTGAAGTCAATCTATAGCTCTTTCGGGGAAAAGACATGCCAGCCCCCTTGGATGCCATACTTCATCACTCATGGGCAGCCAGTGGTTCTGGAGGCTGAGCCAGATGCAGAGTGTGTCTACTCCAGTTAGTCAAAGGCCTACACAGACCTCAGTCCTGCAATGGTAGGAAGGCTTGGGAGCCGGTGAGACTGAACCGTACACTTTCACACACATACTAACCTAGGCAGGGGGTAAGCACGGGCTCCCAGCTTTCCACATAGCAATGATAGATGAGATCTAGGCCGATGCCAGGGATACTGTGTCCCACACTGTCTCAGTGCCCCATGCAGGACCTAACAGAGACCAGGCCTTGGCTCTGGGAAAATCATTATCAACATGTCCAAAGTGAGGTGGCCCAGAGTAAAAACTCCTCTATCCACCTTAGTCAAGGGGTCCAGCTCATATTCAGAAAACAAGACCCTATACCATACTCCCTCAAGTATAGACCACCTGCAGCCACAAGTCTCTTACTCCCCCAGAGTAAGAGGTAAGAGATACCTTGTTTAGCCCAAGTTGCCTCTTTTTTCTTATCTACAGTCTCATTAGCTTTCTTGTGCCCCACCCACAAGCCTTCTACCCTATGCAATCACCACCCTAGCCAAGATCGCGCCATAGGCCTTCCTGCCACAGTCTGTCTAGCCCTTATGTGGCTGCAGCTGCTTCAGAAACTACACCCACTCCCCGGTGCCTGCCTCACTCTGGAGGTGTGCTGCACAACACTGTAGTCAGGAGACAAGAATGGTTAAGTTTACAAAGTTAAAAACTGAAACTTTCAGTTTCAAGAGTTCAGCGACCACACGGGACTGCAAACTGCAAGGCACAGGTGTGCCATCACCACCGGCCCACAAACTTTATTAGCGCCTGTCCAGAGCTTGGCCTTTAGTCTCTGCCTGAGCCAGCCATTTCTTTTCTGCAGCCCACTCTTACCGCACCCCAAACAGGCCCTCAGCTCCCGCCACAAACCCTTGCCTGCCTGCCTCACGCCAGGCTCGGGAAAGTGATTCTGCTGCTGTGCCTCCCTACGGAGACCCTCGATGGACACCACAACCGGTCCCCCTTATGTCGGAACAGTTGCAGGACTTATTGGACGCAGTTATTAAGAACGGGAAGCCAGCCTTTCAGACACTCATTCTGGGGGTCAGGTGTAGAGGATTTAGAGGCGGAACCTGCCCCTGCCACGGGGCTCTCTTTCCGCTCCATTATTTCCCAGCCCTCCTAAGAGATTCAGTTTCGGAACCGAACCGACTAGGTCTGAGTGGCCAAGGACGCCAAGGGCAGCGCATGCTTTCCCCAGGTCGCCTCCGCCTGGCCCCAAGCTCCGGAGGACCTGTCAGGCCAGCTCCCACCGGGAGTCATACACCGCAGGCCTCGGCACCCCCAGCGGCAAGCGCTGTCGCACTGGATCGGCCCGGGGCCTCTAGGGGAGCCACTGGACCCGCCCGGCTCACAGCCAGGCGGCTTCTCACTCACCCCCAGCCTCAGCCTCCGCGACCGGCTCACAACATCCGCCCAGCTTTTCGGCTACGGCACCCGTCCAGGGCCAAACCGCGTGCCCGCTCGCGCGCCCGCCGCTCTTCCAACCGCGCACGCGCAAATGCACAGACCTCAACAGGCCCTTGGCAGCAGAAAACACTCCCCCGACTCCCACCCTCCCGCTGAGGTATTCACCTCTGTTTCGCCTGACGGACCAACTGTTTCCGAATCCCGCCTTCCCTAGTCCAGCCGAAGCAGGGGACTATATTCTAATTGGTCCCTAAGTCACCTGTCTCAACGCCTACCTTGCTTGGAGGCCTGACCCACATGCAACCTGAGACACCCGAAAAGCCACTTCTGTCAGCAAATTTGCTACCTGTCACACCCGTGCACACCCCTCCCTGCACCAGATCCAATGAGAGGCTTTGCTTACCTTACCTGGAATGACACTTCTGACAGGCAGCGCGCTTCCCAGGATCTGCTGCTAGGGGTGTGGGCTGGCCAGCCTACAGCTGGGACTCAGCTGATAAGGCCCTTTGGACGGGGAGAGGCAGCGTTAGGGTTGAGAAACGGTGTTCCTCACTTTACAGGGAGAAACTGAGGCCGGAAAAGTATACTACAGGGGCTGGGAAATCTTGGCAGCTCCTGCTATTAGGGTCTTTAGGCACATGGGCGTGACAGCGGTGATAATGGGGGGCACACCTGTGCCTCACAGTCTAGTACAGCCACTGTAGTCCCTGAACTCTCGAAATGTGACAGTGTAACTGGAAAATTCAGTGTTTAACTTTGGAAACGTAATCACCTGCATGGTCGGACTACTGGGATGTGCAGGACCTCTGTAGGGAGGCAGGCACCGGACTTCAGCGCAGTTCCTGGAGCAGATGCAGTGACAACAAGCTACCTAAGGGACCAATGGAGTACTCTTGGCTGTGGTGGTGACTGCATAGGGTGTGTGTGGGGGGGGCTCTGCCTCAGGGATGCCCACTGTGTCCTCACAGAACCCTCCTGTCTACTAAATGGAAAGGACTCTTAGGAATCTAGCTGCATTAAAAAGGCCAGTGCACTTGACCCAAAGGCCTGAGGCCTGACCTCCACCTAGCAATGATCACCTAGTGTCAGTCAAGCCCAAACAGGTTCAGAGAGGGGGTGTGGAGCCAGAGTCACCCAATCCTCTAGGGACACATTTCACAATTTCCGGGATAGGGCTGTGGTGGGTCACAGTGCAGCCTCCAACTATGAGTATGGAGTGGTTTCCCCTTTTGCTGCTTCTGACACAGTGTCCGAGGGCTCTTGGTGAGTGTCGCCCACCCTGATCCCTGTTTGCCTTTTGGAGAGTCCGCCTCAGGCCCCTATGACTATTCTTGTCAAGAGTTTACTTTTCTGTTGGGCAGGGATTAGTGACCTTGGCCTGCTGAGCAGAGCTGAGAAGGCCTGGGAATTCAAATCTACACTGTCTGCTCAGGCCTCCACTAGAAGGCATGCTGAAACAATGAGACAGTCCTGGGACCACAAAGACTAGCTGACACAGAAGGCGTGGCTCCTCGGCCTAACCTGTAGCTAACATAAACCTTTACACTCGCACCGATGGGAGCCCAGACTTGTGAGTCAGAACGCTGGAAATGCAGTCTTACCTAGATAGTATCTTCACTTTGAGTACAATCATTGTCATTTGGGGGATGCGTCAGGCAAGTGTCAGAGGGCAAACACCACCACCCAAATTCTCATGGAGTAAATGCATTAGACCTGAGCTCCGTGCCAGGCTTAACAGACTAGTTATAACCACTGTGTCCGGGCCTGCCTCCCCAACTCAATGGATATGGCGGGGGGGTTAGGTTGGCCCTTGAAAATATACACAAGGTCCACACAAAAGACCCTAAATGAATAAAACATGGGACGTGTTACGATACATGTACTGATATGCCGGTCATTTCCCTATGCCCATCCCACAGGGCAGCGCTCACCATTGAATGACTTCCAGCTGCTCCGGGGCATGGAGTTAAAGAACCTCCTGCATACAGTGGTGCCAGGACCATGGCAGGAGGATGTGGCAGATGCTGAGGAGTGTGCAAGGCGCTGTGGGCCCCTTCTGGACTGTCGGTGAGTGGCTAAATCGTCTAGCTACAGATGAGGATATGAGACTCTGGGTTACCCGTTAAGCTTGTGTCTGCTGCTCCCCAGAGCCTTCCACTACAACCTGAGTAGCCATGGTTGCCAGTTGCTTCCGTGGACTGAGCACTCGCCCCACACACAGCTCCACCAGTCAAGTCTGTGTGATCTTTTCCAGAAGAAAGGCAAGTAAGAGTGAGGTGAAGCAGGGTGAGCAATGGGGGGGGAGAGGAGTGAAGCCTCGGCCCCTGCTTATCTTCCCTCTCCTGCTTCCAGACTATGTACGAACCTGCATTATGGACAACGGGGTCAGCTACCGAGGCACTGTGGCCAGGACAGTTGATGGCCTGCCCTGCCAAGCCTGGAACCGCAGGTTTCCCAATGACCACAAGTGAGACAGATTCATTGTTGCTAGACCTGAGGTTGACTTCCCCCAGCATGCAATGCAGTGAGATTCTCTGGCTACAGGTATAGGCCCACACCAAAGAATGGCCTGGAAGAGAACTTCTGCCGAAATCCTGACAGGGACTCTAGAGGTCCCTGGTGCTACACAACAAGCGGCAGCGTGCGGTTCCAAACCTGCGGCATCAAGTCCTGCAGGGACGGTAAGCAGCTGGGGTCAAGACTAGGGAGGGAGAGGCAGGCCTGCTCCCACCCAGAAACACACTGGCCCTATGTTTACAGCTGTTTGCGTTTGGTGCAATGGCGAGGATTACCGTGGCCAGGTAGACGTTACAGAGTCGGGTCGCGAGTGTCAACGCTGGGACCTGCAACACCCTCACTCGCACCCTTTCCAGCCTGACAAGTATGTGGGCAGAATCCTTATGCTGAGGATGGGTCTCAGCCCTACTGCGGAAGGGCCTGAGTCCCAGAGTCTTGTTACTACCCCCAGGTTTCTCGACAAAGCTCTGAACGACAACTATTGCCGTAATCCGGACGGATCTGAGCGTCCCTGGTGCTACACCACAGACCCGAATATCGAACGAGAATTCTGCGACCTTCCCAGTTGCGGTAGGCTGCAGGGACAGGGCCTAGGAGGGAAGTTGGCAAAAACTGGCAGGTGCGGCTCAACGGGAGGAGGTACCAAAAGTTAAACATGTGTAGAGAGCACAGCCTTCCGAGTACCAGACACCCTAGCCAGGCAAGCGTAGCTCCAATTGCAGCTTTCGGACAGGGCCCAACCTGCCACTGACCACCAAAGCATCCAAGTCACACCGGCGCAACAAGGGCAAGACTTTTAACTGCTTCCGCGGGAAAGGCGAAGACTATCGAGGCACAATCAACACCACTTCTGCGGGTGTGCCCTGCCAGCGGTGGGATGCACAGAGCCCACACCAGCACCGCTTTGTGCCGGAGAAATATGCTTGCAAGTGAGGTGACAGATTTGAGCAAGGAGAGTGAGCCTGTGGGTGGGAGCGGAGCTTATGGGAAGGTGCGACCTGGGGGCGGAGTCAGCCGGTTCCAGTCTGCTGTGGGTTGGCTGGCGGGCTAGGTGGGCCTCCATCCACTATAAGGGAAGTGCCTGCTCAGGGACCTTAGGGAGAATTTCTGCCGGAATCCTGATGGCTCCGAGGCGCCTTGGTGCTTCACATCTCGACCTGGTTTGCGAGTGGCGTTTTGCTACCAGATCCCGCGCTGTACAGAGGAAGTGGTGCCAGAGGGTGAGGCTGGGGCAGGAGGTACAGTGCCAGGGCAGGAACCGGGAACCGACCCTGGGGCTGACCGCTGCCCTTGCCTGCCCAACACAGGCTGCTACCACGGCTCAGGTGAACAGTATCGCGGCTCGGTCAGCAAGACCCGCAAGGGTGTTCAGTGCCAACACTGGTCCGCGGAGACACCACACAAGCCGCAGTGAGTGTGAGCCCACAACCTAGACTGGACCCTAACTCTAGGGGAAAATGCCTCGGCTTCTCATGTGTGAGCCCGAAGAGGATCTGACTGGCCTGCTATGGACCAATCCCTAGATTCACACCCACCTCAGCACCGCAGGCAGGATTGGAGGCCAACTTCTGCCGGAACCCAGACGGAGATAGCCATGGGCCCTGGTGCTATACTTTGGATCCAGTGACCCTGTTTGACTACTGTGCCCTACAACGCTGTGGTGAGTGTTGAAGGCGCTTCCCCTTGGCTTGGCTTCACCTCCAAAGACTGGCTCCCTTAACCTGAATGAACTTGGTCTTATAGATGATGACCAGCCACCATCCATCCTGGACCCCCCAGGTACAGGCTTGGGCCAGTTGTGGGTACAGCTTCTTTGACCCTGACCCGCACTTAAGATTTTATCCCGCCCCGTCCGTACCCCAGACCAAGTGCAGTTTGACAAGTGTGGCAAGAGACTTGACAAGAGCAACAAACTTCGTGTGGTGGGGGGCCATCCTGGGACCTCACCATGGACAGTCAGCTTGAGGAACAGGTGAGGAAAGGAGTTGAGGAGGAAGGGGAGGGGTGAGAGAGAACTGTGGTTGGAATGTAAAATGAATTTTTTTTAAAAAAAAGATAATTTACAGGCTCAACAGTTTTTAAATACAGATTTTTTAAAAGTAAAATGTTATGTCAAAAAATAAAAATAAAAAAAGGGCCTGAAGCTGTAAACGATGGGGTTGTACCAGGAGAGGATTGATCTGCACCCAGAGGTCCTTGCCAACATGACAGGTCTAGTATGTGTTCCAGGACTCACTGTTGCTTCTAATCTACTCCTCTAGACAGGGCCAGCATTTCTGTGGCGGGTCCCTAGTGAAGGAGCAGTGGGTACTGACCGCTCGGCAATGCGTCTGGTCATGGTGAGCCTCCCTTGGGCTTAAGGACTGGGTCTCCCAGCTTACTTCATTCCACCTCTTCCTGCCATTGCCCCACCACCCCAGCCACTTTCCCCAGAAAAGCCAACA